AAAGGGGCAGGTGATTTTTTTTTTTATTTTTTTTTTTTTTTTTTTTTTATTAAACTGCTGCTATATCCTTCCAAATTAATGGGCCGTACGATAACACATTTCATCAGTACACCACATAGTCTGCATGGTCCCCAAGTGTCGACTTTCCAGCTGCTGAATAGAGCCACATGCTGCATGTATGTAATGAAAGCTGTAACTGTGTGCTCAAGTCTTTAATGCTTTCCACTTTTTCCAGCTCTTCTCCCGCAATGATGACTTACCCATGGCTCACGTTGCTATCGCTGTGGAAGGGCCTGGGTGGAACAGCAGTGATAATGTGGTTCTGGCTTTGGCCAACACCATTATTAGCAGCTACGATGTGACTTATGGTGGAGGCAAGGTAAGGCTAACCATAATGTGACCATCGGAATGTTTGATTTCCATATGTTGTTAAAGGTAATCTGTCTCTGGATTGATTGGGGAAATGGATTATCAAATACAAAAACGTAGTTCTGTTCTGAGCAATGTATATGAAGGTCCTTTTGGATAAATGGAAAGCACTGCTTTAAAATAGAACCTTAGGCAGTTTGTCATTAACATTAATACATTATATCTAGTGTGTAACATGTTTTTTTTTAGGCGTAGTGGTTAGCGCTTCTGCCTTGCAGCACTGGGGGTCCCTGGTTTAAATCCCAGCCCAATCACTCTCTGCAAGGAGTTTGCATGTTCTGCTCGTGCTTGTGTGGGTATCCTCCGGTTTCTTCCCACACTCCAAAGATATTCTGGAGGGTTAACTGGCTCCTGTCTAAATTGGCCCTTCTATGTATGTATGCGAGATTGCAAGCTCCTTGAGGGCAGGGACTGATGTACATCTATGTAAAGCGCTGCGTACATTGTCGGCGCTATAAAAATACCTGTAATAAATATATAAATACCTGTAATAAAATACCAGCAGATCTGGATTCCCCTCCCCCTTTAACAGGTTGACGATTCTGTTCATTCTGCAATGAAATCGCAGATCAGCATTGTCACCCTGTGGAGATGTAATTTGAAACTGAATTTGAGACCAACCTCGACTAGCTATCATATACTGAATATTATCATTACAGGTGTAAACCCCATACTGTTACTAGAATACAGTATTTCTGAATATGTTTCTTTTAGTGGGATATTATTGCCTAGGGAGAGTCAAATCTGCCCTGAAGAATTAAAGTTGAAAAGTGTACACGTTATACACGCCAAATAAAGTTAAGAAAAAAAAGTTCACAAGACACTATGGCTCACTGCTGCTACCCAGTGGACAATGGCTGCACAATAAAATGCTGTTTTACCCTGCAGCTGGTGTAAATGAGCCCCACATTGGGTTGCTCTATGCTCCATTCACAAGGGGTAACACACTGGGATAAGGGTAGTTATTTAAAAAAAGTCAGTCGAGTCCAATGAGGTGTGAAAATTAGTCATGTGGCTGAAATAAAGATACCCATGTGGTAATTTTTTGTGAATTGAACCTTATGTGTTGACAGTTATTCTATTAAATGGCTTCTATGTGTGGCCTGTATTCCCTCTACCTGGTCAGAAGACTTCAATGTTAGTTCAACTCCAGACAATCCTTTTTTTAAATTTAAGTTTTGGATTAAGTGGGGAAGAACTTGGAACCTCTGTTCATGCTGGTGTGGTCAATTAGCATCCCTGGGCTTGCTGCATGGAGGTACTCCTTTACTTGGCATTGCCACCACAGCTCCCACCCAACCGTGCCCTAGTGATTGAGAGCAGCTCTGAGCATGAGCCACACTGTCAAAACTCCATCCCGCCTGCTGAGAATACAGGCTCAGTCACTGACCACATATATCAAAAATAAATATAATGAATGTGGAAATGGTTAAAACAGAAAGCCATGGGGCAGTATTGGTGTGCATTTTAGGAGTGTTTTCTCAAATACTTTAACTTGCTCATGATCTAGGCACTAAAGTCCTCTCCACATTTTCAGAACCTCTCCAGCAACATCGGTCGGGCCGCAGCACAATTGGACCTCTGCCAGAGCTTCCAGCCATTCAACATCCGCTACTCAGACACCGGGCTGCTGGGGATGTACTTTGTGACCGATAAACACAACATCGAGGACACGCTGCACATAGCTCAGGCAGAGTGGTGAGTGGGTAGATTGCCTCCCTCCTGTTAATACTGCACTGCAGGTTCCAAATGCCAAATCCTTCCTCGGTCACACAGCGTGCTTCCTACACAAACCCTCCAAGCAGATGAAATCAGGATGTGCCTCATGTGTTCAGCCTAAAGCTACCACCTAGACTCCAGCGTTCAGAACTCTGGAGCTGACTGGCAGTTTTTCATGAGAATGTTGGTGTATGTCAAGCCAAATGTATTGTTCCTGGTTTTGGATGCATTGGGGAAAACCTAGAAGCTCCTTTTAGGAATTTTTACTGCCGTCAGAGGCTCCGTTAGAGACTTTAATTTCCTTCCTGTCATCTGATCTCTGTTTGACCAGACAGGAAGTGAGGACATATCTATGACAGGGACACAGAAGTATAAATATGATGGGGGGGTCAAGCCTTCTCTTTTTTGCTATTAGGGATCATGTCTCCTGCAAATGAGGCCGCGTTCACAGTGAGCGATTTAGCGCGACTATTTACCGCGCGATATTGCTCTCCAATGCTTGGCAATGGGGCAAAGGGTCCTGCTGTCGCGGGTCGTGTGTCGCTACAGCAGGACCCTTTATGGAGCGGATTTTGCCGCGATTCAATGTTTTTCAATGCAAGCATTTGCGCGATATCGTGCAAAATGCAAATCGCGCGACAAACGCGCGATTTGCGAATCGCTAAGTGTGAACGGGGGCCTAAGTCTGCCTGCTGGCAGTTTGGTGCTTTAAAGGAGAATTATGGGGGAAATACACTCATCCCAATAGTGGACATGTGACATTGAAGGTGTCACACATCACCCCTATTGATCAACAACTGAGCGATTTTTACATATCGCTGTTCGCTGAGTTCACGATCTTCCTCCTGCAGAATGTGGGGACTGTTAGTCACCGCTCCCTGCAGGGATTCCCCCCTCCCCTCTGTTCCTCCAGCGCTGACTGGAGGAACGGATGGGAAAGGGGGTGGGCATAGCTGTCAATCAGGCAGCTGTGTGGATCCCGACAATATTGTTGGCATTCATCCCGGCTGCAGCGCGGGTCTGCATGGTCAGCATATAGCGGGCAACAGTCTGCTATATGAGTTTTGGGGTCACAGGAGGCATAGTAAATGTCCTCCTGTGACCCTAAAGTGCACTACAGCCAAAAAAAGGTTTGGCCCTAGTCCTCTTAAGTGGTGTTTGGGGACAGGTCACTTAGTTATCCCTTTTTAAAGAGAACCTGTCACAGAAAATAAAAAAACCCTTTGTGTGGAGCAGTGAGTGCATGTGGACACTATGTGTCTCTGGCCACTGCCTGGTTGGGAAAAACCAGAGGAAAGGTGTGCCACATACCAATTCCAGGGTGGGGACTCTTCCATTGCTCCACATTATAGCTGAGCTGCCTCTTTTTTTAGCATAGAGTCTAGGGCTGCAACCAACTAATCGATTTAATTGATAATGAGAATTGTTGACTATTCTCATCGATTTATTGATCTGGGTCCCCTAGTTCACTCCTCTGCGCTGGGAGCCGGTGTTTCGTTGGGTCTGTTTCGGCACCAATCCCCCCTGTGATACAGACCCCTGCAGCCAATTCCCAGCAGTGAGGCGAGCTCCCCCTTTCAATGGCACCCCAAACGCTCCTCCTGCAATAAATTATTAGTCAACTAATCGATTATGGAAAAAAAAAAGTTAGTTGCAACCTTTTATAGTCTGTACATGGAGGGAACAATGTGGCTTCATCAAATCTCTTGGTGCTCAGAGCAATGAATACTTTGTAATCCGTGTAAGCTGAGACATTGAAAAGAACCGAATTCCTGCTGTTAACGTTTCGACATTCATTCCTAATGGTCACAGCCGTCCGTCCTGAATTATCACAGCGCGCACACGCGGTTTGTATCCTCTGCCTGTCGTGCTAAAGATTATTCACACTTTACATTTACAGGATGCGACTTTGTACTAGCGCAACAGACAGCGAACTGGTCCAGGCTAAGAAGGCTCTGAAACACGCCCTTGTGGCCCAGCTGGATGGTACGTACCATGTGATTGGTAGGAGAAAAAATCTGCACACGAAGAGAGAATTATTTGTAAGCATTCTGATGTTTGTTTCTCAGGCACAACCCCTGTGTGTGAGGATATCGGGCGCCAAGTCTTGGCTTATGGCCAGCGCGTTTCTCTGGAGGAATGGAATGCCAGGATTGATGTAAGTTGTCATGCATCTTTGTAGTTTTCTGATAGCTGTGTGTAAAGCACCATTTATACGTTTTTTCCAGAACAGAGTGAAAGTACCGATACTTTTCCTCAAGTACCCGCTGATGCCAATTAGCGAGGCACTTTATTTTTTCTTTTGTCTTGTCATGTAACAATACAGACTAATTTTTAGCACAGTGGTGAAGTGCCAGGGCCGAGGCACAGCTGCCAACGCTGTAGCCCTTGAAGTTCTGCCACTGACTCCAAGCTGTAGAGGGACTACAAATCTCAGCGATACATTATACAGCAATATAGAATACATACCATCAGCTATAGAAGACTACCCAGTCATACTTTATACAGCAATATGACGCTACATACTCTGTGCTGCTCCGGGGTGTCGGCCTGATGTCTCCAGCAGAGGATCTCAAGAGGTTTGTGTGAGGTCTCCGGAGGGTTGTGTAGGTTCTGTGGTGGGCTGTGCGGACTCTCAGGTGGGCTGTGCGATCTCACCAGTTGCCCCTGTCGAGGAGATTTTCGGCTGGTGTTGTAAACAGGTACCACAATTCACAGGCTGCAGGGGGGACCTCGGCAGCCTTCCTGTTAACCTCTGCGCTTGTTTTTACAATTTCGGCTTCTGTTTAAAAAAATCAGTGCCGGTATCAGTGCTTACTATCGGGTCATTTGTACGAGTATGATATCGGTGCATCCCTAGCACCATGAGGGGAATTTATGAAGGCTGGAGCAAACAGTATCCGGAGCAGTATCCCATGGCCACCAATCAGCATCCACCTTTATTTTCAGATCTTAACTGGACAAACTTAAGAGAAGCTGATTGGTTGGTTTCCATGCACAGCTGAATTGTATAAAATCTGCCAAAACTTTTTTTCTGCCGAGTACTATATTGAAGGAGCTGTTCTCTCTCTCCTGTGGAAATGTAATAAGTGGAGGACTGCATCAGTGAACGGCCTCATCGGTGGGTAGGAGGAAAAATTTAAACAGAACTCCCGACATGCCCACTGTTATTCTCTTTACATCCTTATACATACCTTGAAGTCTTCTAGCTAGCAGTGATGTCATGGCAGCTTCGTACTCTCTCGGGGGGTATTTGATAATTGTGTATCATGCTGAAGTCCATTTCTTTTCTCTCGGCAGGCCATCAGCGCTAAAACATTGAGGGACGTCTGTTCAAAGTATATCTATGACAAATGTCCTGCTGTGTCTGCAGTTGGTAAGTAGTTTTAATTTACAGCATTCATTTGGAAGTTCCCCTGGCTGGGACTGCCTTTTGTGTTGGGACTTTTCTTCCTAAAGAGATATATAAGTGTCATGAAACCTTCCGTGTGAACTGCGATTTATATAGCAACATCCTACAGCACTGCCAGTGATTGCTGTTCTTTGCACAGTGCCTGTCATTTTGACACCCTTCATGTCTGTGGCCAGTCCTGATGTGAACTGCCAGGTAACAGTCATGTGACATCTAAAGTACATGTGCTTCAGCCTGCGAAGGGTTGTGCATGTGCTTTCATTAGCTGTTATTGCTGGGGATAAGGGACCTATTCCTAACGTGGGTGTGGTCATGTGACCAATTATAGAACATGTGCAGGGCAGGACCCCCAGCCAGAAATTCAGGGAAACAACAGCATATTGAGCCATAAGGAGCAAGTTGCTGTTGTGATGAAGAGTAAAGCAGTGGCGTCACAAGGTGACCCGGGTGACAGTCATTTTGGCATCTCCCCCTCTGACACTATCAGGACAGAGAGGAGGGGACCTGGCGGCATACCTTATCCCGCCGGGTGACTGCCCCCTCCTCTCTGCCGGCGTCAATCACCAAGATGGCCACCAGCAGGTATCAGAAGAGTGCCGCGCGTGCGCGATGACGTCATGTGCATTGGAGAGTCGGCGGGGTGACACCCCGGTAACCGCTCCTGTTGTCACCCAGCCTCAGGACGCCCCTGGGGTAAAGGATTGGATAAAAATGTATCGTCTAGATTTCTTGGTTCCACGTGCATCCGCTCCATCCAAAGCGTCGCAAATTGCTACAAATACTCAAATAATACTACAAATAATAATGAACCCAGAATGAATATTTTAGATTATTTCCAATAGATTCTGATTTCTAATCTCCCCATTTTAGGTCCCATCGAGCAGCTCCCTGACTACAATCGTATCCGCAGTGCTATGTACTGGCTGCGTTTCTAATCTCCATCCGGTTGGAGGATACTTTTTCGCTTTTGGAAGAGCGTCGGAGAATCTCGTCTTGCAGGATAAATCAGGAAAACTATGAAAAATGCTGGTGGCTGAATGTCCGAGCTCACATTCCAGCAGATGTAAAATACAGCTAGGAACGTCCGTATGTGTGTTCAACGTGTGAGCAGCTGGTGACATCGCTGAATAAAATATTATTTAAATGACTGTCTTTTTTTTTTTTTGGTAAAATAATTTGTTCTGAGATATAAAATATGGACTGTCTGGGAGGTCCAATAGAACATCGTAAGCCAAAAATAGGAAATCAAATTTTTTTTTTTTTTAAAACCATTTTCTACTGTACCCCAATCTTCTCTGTATTAGTTGCTTTGTTACCTTTGCAATAGGCGGATTATTGGGATTATTATCATCATCATTATTACGTAGCGCTCACCCCCGGAGCCTCTGGATAAATCTGTCTTCCTTAGCCTGCCTAGAAATTTTAGCAACCTGGCAGCCCCAATAGCACTTATCAACCTTCTGTGGCGACCGATAAAGTTGAGATCCGGACTGTAGATACAATGCTGAAGGAACTTTATTGTAGAACTTCAGACAGAGAGAGGTTTAGGGCTAGGAATATCCAGGATGGTGTAGACTCCTTTTTAAGTGTAAAAACAGAGTATTTTCTGCCTCCACAGACTAGGACCCTTTAAAGGAGAACTATGAGGTCAGGGCTTTTCCCCATAGTTCTCCTAAGGGTAACGGGAATACACTTATTATGGCTATTATTCATATTAGACAAGATTTATATAGCCGCAACAATTTACAATATAAGGAGGACATTGCAGTTACAAGACAAGATGGTGAGGAGGGCCCTGCCCACGAGAGCTTACAATCTAAAGGGGAGGGACAAGTAATACAAGAATTGGTATCTGTGTTGGGATCAATTGTTTGAGAATGTGATAGTTCAGTGATTAGGTTGAGGTGGGATAGAGATGAGTCTTTAGGGATCGCCTAAAGGGAAACAAAGTAGGAGCTACCCGGACAGGTTGGGGTAAGGAGTTCCAAAGGATAGGAGATACTTTAGAGAAGTCCTGGAGGCAAGAATGGGAGGAGTCCGATGGAGGTCTTGGGAGGAGCAGAGGCGAAGGTTAAGATGATACTTCCTAGAGTTCATGTTATATAAATCCCTTCCAGTTTGTTCTCTAGTGCAGACCAGCACACACTTGGACAAAGCTGGGTACAAACAAGTTCTCATGCCAATGCTCTGTGTCCACCAGTGGCACTGAAACCTAAAGCCTAAGCCACTCCCCTTCTTTCTCTAAGGGCTTTGCTTGACAGAAAGGTACATGTCTTTATCTAGAAGGTGCAAAGGATCATGGGACAGCTAGTCCCTGAGGATGAGCTAATGTGACCTTGGTGTGAATGATGATGAACAGTGTGCGATCCCAATGCAGAAGTGCGGGAAAGAGAAGAATTGAGTGAAGAGGCTTATGGAACCAACTGAACCGTGAGTGTTTTGGGGCCAAATGAGAAAAATACTTTAGGTCCAGACAGTGAAACTATAAAGGGAAACATGAAAGAGCCTCAAAAATAGAAATCTATGTCTGTGTAATAAGGACAGAGGGGACTTGCTTCAACAGTACAAAACGTTTCATCAATGGGCGCCTGGACATGATGCGGTAACAGATGAACATTTTCCAGCAGGATGGATGCAAGAATCTCTGTGGGATTCAAATAACAGTGTGCTGATTGCCCAGCATGCTGGCCAGGTCACCTATTGAACTACTTTGGACAGCCTTTCTGTTGGTGCAATCCACCATCGGAGGTTTTTCAGTGTCCGCCAGTTGTTTGCTGGTCTGTGTATGATGCAAATGGCCACCAGGAACCTCTGGGCCGGCACCTATGATCCCTCGCTAACTGTTGCATGGCTTTGTTATGTCAGCCTGCAGCTGAGCAGCTCCCCGCGTTGGCAAGAAAAGGAAGCAAATATGGCACTGACATGCTGTATAGAATTGCTTGGCAGGGGGTATCTGCCGCCAGAGCTCACATAGAATGTACAAAGGCCAAGCAAATGACATCCTACTGCTAACAAAAGCACTATGCTGCCTGTCTGGCAGTGAAAGAGTGTAAAAAGTATTTTATACAACGCACGACACATACACCTACTTGCCAGAACAACGCCCTTGTATTGAAGCACCAAGAAAGCTCCTGGCACCGCACCAGACTGTGTTCAATGAGCCATCATAGCTGCCATTGGTACTCATACGTTGCCAAGGATACAGACACAGACTGTGGCTACGGGGCCGACAGGGCTGGGTGGATTGGGCCTTGTTACCTACATGTTTTAGGTGGGGAATAAAGTGATGGAAAATATCCAAAAATTCCAAGTGTCTGTGTGTTCCGTGATGCAGAGGCAAGCCTTATCACGCCGCTGGAGAAATCCCCTCTCCACACACCAGAGACTGAGAAGATCTCCCTGAAAACTGAATATCAACTCGAAATTAAGGTCTGCCGTAAAAGAGACACTCCAGTCAAAGCCCAAAGTCCCTAAAGCTGAAGTTTTATCAGGTTGGCTCTACCTGCTCGGGGCTTTTAAAAACCCTAATTCTTTGGTCTAGGACAAATGCGGAGATGTTTTTACAGTTTTCCTGCCCCTCTCATGTAAGGGAATTGTTACCCTCTCGACATGTGCGCTTCGTTTCATTCCGATTCAAAATGTGGACAAATTTTCCGAAATCCGGACATACGCATTTCCAAATCCCAAAGCATCCGAATGTATCCGAATTTCCGTTTCCGAATTTCGGATCCCGTCCAAATTTCGTTCAAAAACTAAACTGGATCGGACATGTGACTTTTCTGTCCAATGCATCCGAATCAGTCTGAACACAAATCTTTGTTACGGCAACATGGGAGCCAAATACAGTATATACATATAATACTAAAGCTGAGGGATCCGAATTTCCGAATTGCATTTGGGAGCTCCCGAATGCCATTCAGCTTTAGTAATATTTGTATATGGCTCCCAGACCTGATTGGTATTCGGGAGCTCCCAAATGCAATTTGGAAATATCGGATCCCAAATGCCATTCGGGTCTGGGTGCCATATACAAATATTACTAAAGCCGAATCGGTCTGAACACAAATTTTCGTTACGGCAACATGGGAGCCACATACAGTATATACATATAATACTAAAGCTGAGGCTCCCGAATGCAATTCCAAAATTCTGATCCTGAATGCCATTCGGGTCTGGGAGATTCAGCTTTAGTATTAATATCTGTATATGGATTTCTATGGTATTCGCAACTAATATTCGTAAACTCACCTGAAACTAACGAAAATTCTGATTTCGTCAGAATCCGAAACCTGAACTGAATTGAATTTGGGATCTGAATCCCGAAATAACGATATATCCGAATCGAAACGAATTTTCCTGCAGCTTACATGTCTATTACCCTCCCAGCTGCGCTCTTTATTTTGTGTTATTTAAAACAAACGGCAGACTAAAAATAATACAGGATAATACGCAAAATGTATTCATCAGATTGTATTAATGTAACTGGAAGGTTTCATTGGTCCAGCTTGGCTCAATGTACTGTAAGTGTTCATATCTGATCTCCAGAGGGCTGCTGGGGATGCTGAATATCACCCTAGTTGTAATCCTCGCCGTGATCTTCCGGGTGCGGCTTCCCTTCTGCACGCTGAGCACAAGGAGTCCCATGTTCGGTAATGCCGCCATTCCAAGAAGGCCTCGTATTTTTTTAAATGAATACAAGGCGTTTTCTGATTAGACGAGAAGAAGGGAGGAGGGGGCTATCCCATCACAATCTCCATCTCTTCCACTAAAATAATACCTTCGCCGCATTACTCTATGTTCATTGTGCAGTGGTCAAGCCAGTGGAGCAGCAACCAGAAGATCTTGGTTATGGCTGTATGTAGCATGAGCTGCTACAGTGATTTCCAGCAGCCTTCCAGATACTTGCACCGAGCCAAGCTGGACCAATGTAAGTTTACAAAAAAAGATCATCCCCTGAGTTCAGCTTTAATAAAATTATTGTTTCTCCTTTTTTTTCATCCTGTGTTGTGTCTTGGTGCAGCTGATCTCCTGTCCCGAAGCACAAATAGGAAACAGGGACAGAGTGTTGTCACCATATAACAGGAAGTGCTTGAATGAAGACCATCATGGCAGGAACAACAAGTATTATTTTAATGAAAGCTGCAGATTTTAAATATTGAAAATGACGTGAACATGTTAAAGCTTCTATGAGGTTTTAGTGTTTATGTTTACATACACTTAAAGGTCTGAACTTGAGGTTATACAGCGCTACACTTTAAATGATATGTGTACTCTGGCGCCATTACAGCATTATCTGAGGTCATGAACAGGGCACAGAGCAGGAAATCGGCACGTCTCTGAGAGATGGTCTTTCATCTACCTGACAGAAGCGCCTCCTTCCTTGTTAATATGAAGGTGAGTTTGGTCAGATAAAGGCCAGAGATTGATGAGAAAAATGGAACAGTTTATGTATCCTGTGTGCTCACACCTCCCGTGCTCCACGACCCGGGAATATATGTTTAGGAGGTCTCGGTACAAGTTAAAACACCAAACTGTATGATGCATTGCAAGGAGGGGTGAACAGAGCCGAGCACCATTTACTCGGTAACATTCTAAAGCAAAATTGTTGACCTCATGAAAAATTCTAATCTCTCTCTCTCTCTCTCTCTCCCCCCCCCTCCTCTCTTTTTGTCTCTTCTCTTCTCCTTTCTCTCCTTTCCTTTCAACTCCTCCCCATCCATTCCTCCCCTCTCTCATTGTCTCTTCTCTTCTATGTTACTCTACTCTTTTCTTTCTCCGCTCTTTTCTATTCCTCTCCCCTCCTACTTCTCATTGTCTCTTCTCTGCTCCCTCTCTTCTCTCCACTTTTTTCTCTTCTCATGTCTTCTGTTTTCCTTCATCTCCTTTTTTTTTTGCCTGCTAAGTATCTGTTTGGCTGGAATTAGCCTTTATTAAAAGGAGAACTATGGGGTTAAGGCTTTTCCCCATAGTT